TCGCATTATTTCGAGAAATTCCGACGTGAATTGGTCTCCAAGATCGTGCGACTTAACGTCACTGGACTATTTTTTCTGGGGATTTTTGAAAAGTAAAGTGTACGCGACTACCCCACGCAAGATTCAAGACCTTAAGCGCAACATTCGCACCGAAATTGCGGCCGTGGACCCGCTAATACTCCAAAAAGTCATCGAAAATTTTGATTTTCGGATGATGGCATGACGACGGAACCGAGGTGGACATAATTATGTGCGATGTTATATTCCATACATAAATGGCAAAGAACGACCTATAATTTTCAATGAAGCGTTCAGTTTCTCACTCATAAAGTTTTTTTTTTTAGATTAAAGAAAATAAGGAACGGATGGAACACCCTATATTATATCTCTTATTACAGTGGCAATTTAATTTTTTCCAGACAAAGAAAAATCCCAGAAGTCGCCAAAGGCAGGTAAACAACAAAGCCCAAGGCAACGCAAAGTAAAAAGATCGACAGGCTCAGAATAAGTCCTACCAACATCCATCGACTCATTGACTGATTAGCATATAAAAATTCCATTTCATTTTATATAGCATTCTGTTGTTCATGTTCATATACTTTTAATGCTCAGATTGCACTATTGTCAACAATTTTTTCTATTCTCACAAGTATATCGTGAATCTTTGCAGTATATTGCTAACGAGAACAAAATATTTTCATACACAATAGTCTTTTATTAGTTTACTATGAACAAGTTGGCAGTTATAATTAAAATATGCCAGTTGTACTGATGGAAAAATTTGTAAACATAATTTCCAACAAAAAGTAAAAAGACCAACATTTTGTCATGTTCACCATAAGCAAACGCTATTAGTCAAAATATGGTTGTGTGTATGGACTTTTGAGCATCAAAGATTCACATATTGTATTTCAATGGTGTCTTAGTCATTTTCCCAAGGAAAATACCGACATGCTCAGGGTATCCTGAAAGTTGGAACTTTCCTTTTCAGGAACTACAATGCTTGACATAACAAAGCTAATATGTGGTGAAACAGAGAAATTTCAAGTATTTCTCTGTGGCTGTTCGAAGTTGCCATTAGTAAAATGCTTCATAGAAAGTACGGGTATTGGAGTCCAGCCAAAGAATAAAAGGTCCAATGAGTATTTATCATGCCATCTCAAACTTATAAAGGAAATGTTTGTTGAAAATGTGACCGACTTTGTGAGGATTTTCCAATGACCACACATGAGTATTTCGAAAGTTTTTCACACAGTTACGCGTGAAGGTTGATTCGCCCGTGATTGATATAGACTTCAATTCCGGATTATTTTCATGAAGGTGCAACAACTACTCACAACAACGCACTATTACAGAAAAATCCTCAGCTCGGAGGGCTTGTACACGTTGTACGTAAGGAGGGTACAATCCATCATCATGCAGTATTTGCTACACTTTGTCTTGGAGACTTGCACTCGTCTAGCCAGTTCTCTAGTGATCCTATCATCAATTTGCAGCATTTGGGGTTGTTTAGGTCTTACACTGTGCCCATCTCGAAATTTCTCTAAACGAACTGTATCTCTAGCTCTTTGCATAAGGTAAACAAATCACGTGGCCATGAATCTTAACATCTGGGAAAACAATCTGCATACACGCGCGACGTTGTGTTTTGAAGACACTTAACCATAAATTAAACTCATGTCGACAAAAGTTCGATATTGCTGTACGAGTGTGCCAACTTTAGTTTTTTTTTCGTACCGATTGGTAAATAAATGTTTTGTTTACCTACGCTGTCAGTGCGGAGTACTGACGTGCGTTTTCACTTTTGATCTGATCGCGATTGCAGGAGCGGATTAAGTTCGATTAATTTTGCGGAGCCTAATATCTCAAGTCTTTTGTGTATGCTACACTAGGAAAAACCGCTTATTTTTTCCAGATCTATACGCCGTGTAAAGGAAAGTCCAAATTTGCGGTTACCCCGTATAGGTTTTACTAACGAGTTATAAAATCAAGCAAAATAAAATAATGGCAACTGAACTCTAAATACGAGAGTGTGTTGTCATAGACAAGGCCGTAATCATAAAATACATTGTATAAATAATACATGCGATTGAGTAGTTCTTAAATTTATTTAAAATAGTATCAATAGATTTTATAAAGCTAAGGTGTTATCATTAAATTATTGATCGTTTTTCTCTAGTTTTTACGTTTGATGTGTTGTGATTCATTTTAAATCAGTAATAAGTTTATAGACAATGCACTGTATATATTCCAATTGCGCCACTATGGTGGATTTGAATATTTCGAAAATAAAAGTTTGTTACAAAATTGTAAATGATTTTTTTAAACAATCCACAATCTCTTTGATTTTCCAGTGTTTTTTAATTAGGTATGCTTGTAAACTAACATATGGGTACTTGAAAAAATAAACATTTGTAGTTTTACTATATATTTTGTCCCGAATAGATAAATTATACTAAGCTATGCCCAATGGCTACATACACATTTATACAAATAATAGGACCCTTAAGACATACCATCAATGCTAATGAAAATGAACTAATACAGTAGAAAACAGTTCTGCTAATTTTGTCAGTCCAGGCGAGATCTGTATTGGCATGGTTGGTCAGAAAACATGAAAGATCTTGATAAAAAATATGGGAGCAAATGAGGATCCTAGCTCATCAAAGCTTCGCCCGCCTTAAACATTGGTAACAGTTTCATTCTAAACAATTTTAAGTAATATTGTATACTTTTTAATATGTAAAAAATTATCATTAATAATAATATAATAAGAAAATAACTGTGACAATCACTGTTGCTTAGGCATTATAATATCAACTACTAAACTGTCACCAAACATAAAGCTAATCTTGAATGAATAAAATTAAAAATTACTTAGTTCAAGAATCTTATACTCATTTTCTGTTCAACATCAGTCCTCTGCAATGCCTTACAGAATTCTTCAAAAGATATCATTTGGTCACCATCTTCATCTGCTTCAAGGATGGTGCGTTCTGCAATGCTGATCAGCTGTTCCTCACTGATATTAGTACCAACCATCATGTGCAAAATGGCTAGCAATTCATCTTTGGAAATCATGTCATCGTTGTCAAGATCATACATTTTGAAGGCAACTGAAATGTAATGGGTATAATAGCATATACACTGAGAAACAAATTTGTCTGACGACTTGAGTTTAATGTGTACGAGAGAGAAGTGTGTATTGAAACATGTGTTAGAAACCGCCTGGAGAGCGGAGTTCACCACGCGTTGTCTAGCAACCCTACCGCGTTGTCACTATGTTACACCAGTTCCTTGAATTAAGATGCATATTGCAAATGTGCGTTAGTTTGTTGTTTACGCCCAAATAACAGTTTTATTTTGAGTGCACAGATTTTTAATTGTGTCGAATCTGATTCCCTATCGGTCCCAACGGCGCTTCATTTTAGGTCGAAATGAAATTCTGCATCATTGGTTCATTTGATAACACCACATCCCAAGGCAAGGTTTCCACCTCCATGATCATATATGAGCGATTTTGGTCAGTACCCATCTAGTGCTCATAGAGCTGTGTTGTCTTGCTCGAAGTTTTATTACCATCCGTGGAAATCAAAGATAAAGTAAATTAAAGGATCAAAATTGAAATAAATAATTCTAATCAAAATGAAAACAAAATATTTAATTTTTGAACAGACCTTCTTCTTGGGTTTCACAGCAACCTAACCTATTGTAGCAGCCTGTGCCAACATTTTCTGGTGTAACATATTGGCAACAAGGCAGACACCTTCTGAGTCATTGTTGCTAGACAATGTGGTGATGACCTTTGCTCTTCAGCCAGCTTCGATCTCTTTCTAACATGTGTTGATACACACTTCTCGCACTTCTCTCTTGTACACAATGAACCAGCTCTGTCAAACAAATTTAATTTTCCCTGCAGATGAGCATAACTAAGCAAATTTTCTTGCAGGCTATGCTGATTAACCCAACAAGCTCTTGAAAATCGTGAGCAATAGAGAAAAACCTTATTACACACAGCTACATGATCAAAAGGTAATAAAAGACAAAAACAATACAGCTGGATCATCACATATGTTTCTGGCTAAATCACTACTACAATATGTCTTTGAGCTTCCCAAAACATTTGGAAAGCACTTCTATTTTTTCAGATGATACCCTATGTCAATGGAAATTAATAGTACAAAAAAAATACTTTTAGATATTAACCTGACCCTTCAAGAGAAAAGACATTTAACCTTAACCTTAAAGTTCATTAAAATCGAGTGTGTATTTTTTTAATGTTTAACAACATTTCTAACCTTGGAAATTAAGATGGTGGCAAATAATGTCATTGAACATTCTGTCTTCAGAAGGTCACGGTCGAGACCAGTGAGTGCAGTTGAATGACTTTAAAAAGTTGGTCTATTTAAATTTGTGACCAGCTCATTTGTACTCTAGGTGTCACTAGCTTCATAATTTATAAAACCAAAATAGCATAACATTAGTTTTTGCCTTATTAAACTGATGTATAACATATAGATTTATAGTCTGATCATGGGTTAGTTAAAAACAACTGAAATGATTTAATTTAGCCACTTTTTCTTTTCTTTTCATTCTAATTTTAGCTTATAAAAATGATCAAGTACATATCTCAATATATTTTTTGACCAGTGTCAAAAATATACCTAGGTTCACATCTGAAAAAATTGACTTGACCTTCAACATCAAAGTCAAAAGATAATCAGTACATAAGCAAAACATCAAATCACACAAATTAGTAGGTATATTGAAGTTTTTCTCTATCATCTGATTTTAGAAGTCTCACTGTTTCCATAAATATACTTTATGCAAAGTGTTACAGATAACAAATAATTGTGTGTTTACTACCTATAATAATGGGTGCAGTTTTTGATTTTCAACATCATGAAAAAGCATGCTCATATTTATCAGTTCATATCTCATAAAACTTGACCCCTCCATATGTTGATAAGATCTTAAATTTTATAATGCTATCCCTGTGGCATCCCCCTTTTCCCTGTATCACCATATAGCCCCGCAGTACCCATGGGTGAGCTTAGGCCTTTGCGGTGGGTCTAGTATAAAAAAAATTAATCTTGAGATTTCTGCCAATCATTCAAAAACTTAATGTGCAGACTGCAGATAAAAGGATTCAGAGGAAGGGGTAGAATCTCAATGTTATCAATTTAGTCTAATAAGAGACTTTGAAAAATAAAGCTAGAAGGGTAAAACCAACTGTCTAACTACATACTTTTGTTTGCAACTACACAGTGTGTTGCAACAGTAGTCCGAGTGGTCCTGTACATATCCATCATAACAATTTTAAGATCGTACCAAGAAGACCAGCCAAGCCCAGGTCTGTCTGAGGTAAGTGTGCCTGCTTTCAGAAAACATCCAATCCCCAAATCAAGCAGGCATGAGATCATCTATTATTTTTTGATCTACCAGACACTCCACTCTCGCTCACTGCTCCAAAAACACCAAACATCCTCTCAGAACAGGATAAGTTACAAGCGTTACATAAAATTATAAAATTCTTACATCTTAATTTTTCCTCTCTAGAATTCAGCTTATTTTCTTTATTCCGTTTGATAGGCCTAAAATGTGCCAGCACATGCATGAATTGTCTGAAATTCACTCTATCTGCAAACTCATCTCCTTGAAAGAATGAATTCACAATTCGTTCACCCAATGGATTGATTGCTAGCTCTGGTATCCTCAGGAAGTCATCTCTACTCAATGTACCACAGTCACCGCGATCCAGTGAGGTAAAACGACTGTACAGACGTTCTATTTGGTTTGGAGTGACTGAAAATTGCAATACAATTAGTTATAGGCACTAAAAGCTCCTTACACCTAAGATGAATTCACTATACTCACATCCAGTTTCTTGTTGAATTTGGGCGATTTCCTCCTCGCGTAAAAGGAGCGATGATCTGTTGCCCATTTTTATGTAATTAGTTATTCAAATGCAGTAATCGCACTAGTTTTATTTCAAGGACAGGTCTTGTGAAGGTGATACATGCACTTTGTACCTTTCCAGTAGTGATTGCAAATTATATGATTTCACTCATTTACTAAATATTTGTTCACAGACAACTCCGTGATGAGACTTCCATTAACTTTAATTATCTCGTTAAGTTTTAGAAAAAAACTACTGCTTTTTTTGAAGATATTCAAAATTCAAAACAAGGATAAACCCACCTTCACAAAACATGACACAAAGCAGCTGGCTGTGGCTCCTAACCTAACATGTAGTAAATCAGCTGACACTCTGTCATAAAATATAGAACGCTTTCCAGTGACCCTGTTGAATTACTCGATGTAACTCCATGGTGGTTTGCATCGGTTCGGGTTAAAGTGCGCTAACTTCGAATTAGTCTTTGCACCGTCATAGTTATCTCAGAGTTAAGGCTTAACTCTGGGATAAATTTACCTCTCACTTGAACTAGGTGTTAAGGCGGATACGTAGCACCATGAAAATGGTAGAGTAATACCTGCGCATCGCGATGCTTACTGTCAATAAAAAAGAGGACTTAAATGTCAAATGACGTTCTTTTAACTCTTACGGAACCAAATTTGTGACTGCTAAAACTCTCTAATATTGTTTGTTGTAACTGATTGTTGGGCTGTTTAGATTTAATTCCAGAGGAATAAGGTCATCCTCGTCGAATTCTTCATTATTTATGGTTACGTCCATAATTACCAGGGTGCTTTATGGACAATGCTGTCGGCTGTCTGTATGATGCGACTTGTCGATCCACAGCGAAAAATATTCTCAAATTCCCACTGTCCAAATAGAATCACAAATATATATATATATATATATATATGAATCTGTTTGGAAGTTGGGAATTTGAAAATATTTTATCCAGTCAAATCAAACACAGACGATATTCAATAAAAATGACAGAGAAACTGAATACAAAACACAAGTACTAAAATGTCCAAATTTACGTCAATATTTCAAATCCCAGCACAAATCATCAAACTTTTTATCACAGAACTAGCCTCTGTGGCAATATTGCCAATAAATGTATTAATTCTAAGAAATATCCCTATATTCCAAGCTTGCCAACATGACCAAAAGTCGGGGTTTCTAAACCCAAAGTTAAACCTTGACGGTGCAAAGCTACTCGAATTTAACCTGGGGTTACAGCTAACTCCGAGTTAAGTAACCCTCACCTTTAACCCAAAGCGGTTCAAACCACCGTAAGTAGAGCGCAGCACTAATACCGTTCCATTGCACGTTGTAACCAAAAGCCACTGGAAAACATCTCAGATTCACTTTTAGTTCCCGAGTGTATCTGAAACTCATTGTGAAAATATGTGTCACAACTGACGACGGTTACGTTTGAAGCATTGATCTCAAAGGTCATTTAGAATGATTTAGAAGTTAACTTTGTCAATTCACTATTGTTAACAGCAGAGTCATGTCAAGCTGTCGATTTTACATCAGAATCAATTTCCATACATGAGGTCGAGTGGTCATACGAACACCTCGAAAACGTGGCAACCAAGTACAGGGTGCGGCAGAGAGGACGGACGTTTTTGGGATGGGTAGTACTCTCCGCCTCCGTCTACGAGAGAGGTGGGGGGGGTGCCGTTTGACTCGTGAGATCCTAGCATTATTTTACCAGTTGTCGTTATGGAGCCTTGGACGGTGGAGCACCGCGTTTTCGCCTATGAGTGACGTAGCCCACTTTCACCTAAACAGCATAGTTAACCAGCAGAATTGTCGTTATTGGGCTAATGAAAATCCGCAACAGTTACACGAAAGATCGCTGCACAGCCCAAAAGTAACGGCTTAGTGCGCTGTATCGCAAACGTGCATCATTGGCCCTTACTTCTTCGAAGACGGTAATGGTCGTGATGTTACCGTGAACTGAGAGCGCTACGTCGACATGATCACCAACTTCTTTCTCCCTGAATTACGACGGCGACGTGTTCCAATCCGACGTGTGTGGTTCCAGCAGGATGGGACGACCGCCCACACAGCCCGAGCATCCATGGACGTTATTCGCCCTGTCTTCCCTGGTCGCCTTATTTCCAGGTTTGGCGATGTTCGGATGTTCATTGGCCTCCTCGGTCCCCAGATTTATTCATATGCGATGTTTTCTTATGGGGACACCTCAAGGTTAGAGTATACGCGAACAAGCCCCGAACTCTGGACGAATTGAAGGGCGAAATTCGCGTGGAAGTCGCCCAAGTTGAGAGAGCGATGTTGGAGAGAGTCTACGCGAACTTCCAAGAACGCCTCCAGCACTGCATCAACGATTTCGGCCACCACATGCCTGATGTGATTTTCCACACTTGACTGTCTCAAATGCTATTTTCTTGTGAACCTGATTCCATCAATAAATTTGTTTTCGAGTAAAAATTAACTATTTTATGATTTTTTTAAAACCGTCCATCCTCTCTGCCGCACTCTGTATTTTTTGGAACAAAGGTTTTTAGTCTATCACCTCAAAGATGAGTTAGGGAATTTTGACAGTAGATTTGTGTGTGTACATTTTACATAAGGTACATTGAAATTTGCCCTAGAAGCCAATTCGAAGGAACTTTAGAGTCAATCTACTTCTTTTAATTTTTCGAAAACTATGATGGTGACACGCAGTAGCGTCACTAAAATGTGTGCTTATTTAATCCGTGCCACTGTCCGAACCCACGGTGGACAGGTGACTAACGTCATATTCCATAATTCATACCAGTTCCCATTCAATAGAATTTCAAATAAAAAGGGATCTCGCTAATACATCTTACATCACTATTATTTTATTACATGTCAGAATTAACGGATCCTCATTGAAAAACCCTTTATTCAGGCAGCCATGAACGAAAATATTAGAATCAAATTCAAGCGGATAACCAAATGGAAATGGTATTTACCATTTTGGATTGGTATTTACCAATCTGTTCAAGCGAGTGTGGTTATCAGTTTGGTTATAAGATCCGTGACGTCATGAATCAGCTGTTATATGTCATAGTTATCACCGCAAAATTGTGGTATTTACCCAACTCGGGAGTAGTTTTATATTTCTGGTTATTATTTGACATGTGACAAGTTAGAATTTTGCCGGGTATTGGATATTTTTATTGTACTTCAGCTTCATTTTTGGGAAACTTGATACAGGCTGATTTCAGTTCCAGCATAAGAGAGCACCTTATTATTTATAATCATTACTGTTGTTGGGGACACTTTAAATCTAGTTCCTACGCTTAACAAAGTATCCTGTATAGCCATATACCAAAAGAATATTAAAATATGGCCGTATAAACTCACTGGATGATGTCACCCTGTATACAGTTTTGTTAATATCTTTTTTTCATCGCTTTTTCATCATTTCTGCTAAATCAATAAATATTTTCTTTGTCATGCGGAAAAGTTTAGAGAATTGAAAGTTATCATAGCTACAAAGCCATGGTTCCATCAGTAAATATTTTTTTCTGAAAAAAAACATTCCTCCCATTAATATTATGAAAGTTTTCTTTTTTTCAACTTTCCATAGCCGGTTGTAGACAAAAAAGCACCGATTATTAAGTGATAATAATAATAATCAGAAATTATATACGCGCTTTTCCAAAATAAACAACTTGCAACAAACCGCGGTTAAAACCAACGCGTTCAAGCGATTCGAGTAACTGACGTCATCATCCCGTGTGTCATCTTGAACCATATTATAACCGCAGTACATAATACGGAAATTTTGGTTATCCGCTTGGATTTGATTTATGAAATGCAGCCTTTGTTGTGAAGTCACGTGAAGTCGCTAACGAAGTGGTTAGGGTTACCACATCGTTGTTCAACTACTGGTCGGAAAAAAGAAACGCTAATAGCACAGAAATAGATGCAGTGTTGTCAAACGAACCAATGGTTCGTATGTTGAAGAATTTGTGGCGACCCTGACCTTTCATTTCGACCTAAAATAGAGCGCTATTAGAACCGATCGGGAATCAATCCTAAACAGAACCAACAAAATTCACAATTAAAAAATGTATACGCTCAGAATAAAACCATTATTTGTGCGTAACGAATAAAGTAACGCATATTTTCAATATGCATCTTGATTCAAGGAACTGGTGTAAGATATTGGCAACGCGGCAGATTTGCACGACCTTCTGCGTCACCGTTGCTAGGCGTTGAGCTTCGCTATCCAGCCGCTTTCTATCTCTTTCTGACATAACATATGTACCTTACACTCTTAAATCAAATCCAAGCGAATAACCAAAATTTCTGTTTTATGTACCGTGGTTATAATATGGTTCAAGATGACACACGGGTAGATGACGTCAGTTACTCGAATCGCTTGAACGCGTTGGTTTTAACCGCAGTTTTGTTACAAGTTGTTTATTTTAGAAAAGCTCGTATATAATGTCTGATTATTTTTATTATCACTTATAATCGGTGCTTTTTCGTCTACAACGGTGTATGTAAAGTTTAAAAAAGAAACCTTTCATTATATTAATGGGAGAATTGTTTTTTTCTTCAGAAAAAAAAATGTTAATGATGAAACCATGGCTTTGTAGCTATGATAACTTTCAATTCTCTATACTTTTCCACATGTCAAAGAAAACGTTTATTGATTTAGCAGAAATGATAGGAAAAAGCGATGAAAAAAGACATTAGCAAAACCGCATACAGGTGGACATCATCCAGTGAGTTTATATGGCCATATTTTAATATTCTTGTGGTATATAGCTACACAGGATACTTTGTTAAGCATAGGACTAGATTTAAAGTGTCCCCAACAACAGTAATGATTATAACTAATAAGGTGCTCTACTTTGTGCTAAAACTGAAGTCAGCCTGTATCAACTTTCCCAAAAATGAAGTTGAGGTACATGAAAAATATATCCAATACCCGACAAAATTCTAAATTGTCATATTTCAAATAATAACCAGAAATATAAAAATACTCCTGAGTTGGGTAAAACCACAATTTTGCGGTGATAACTATGACATGTAACAGCTGATTCATAACATCACGGAACTTATAACCAAATTGATAACCAAACTCGCTTGAACGGATCGGTAAATACCAATCCAAAATGGTAAATTCCATTGTCATTTGGTTATTCGCTTGAATTTGATTTTATTTTACACACTTCTCAGGCTTCAGTCTTATGTGTTTTGTGCGCTTCACCCTCGTACACAGGTGGTACAAAGTGAACACGTTAAAGAATGTGGAACTCTATATTTTTAGACGGGCGTTTTGACCTTGACGTTTCTGTCATATCTCAAAATTTGTGTTTTGACTTTTCGATTTGGAAGCGGCCACTGTCGTGTCAATTTTAACGATAAAAAGCAGGAAACTGGTGGAAGATAATTTGAATATTGTAATTTCTTTGCATATTCAATACAAGGTGAAGAGGCGTACCATTTCTTCACAAACTGATGTGAACTTATCAGTGGCAGGATTTGGAAATACGTTGAAATACTTTTAAAGGGTGTGTGAATGTATGTTTTACAATGTTACATCTATTTATGTTGCTGATATAATGGATTCAAACAAATTTCCTGCTAAAAGTGTGCCAGGTAAATACAAGTTACTTGCCTTAATCAGTCGATGAACTATGTAGTTTTCAGCCAACAACGGGGATAATAATGATGAACCTTATCCAAGCCTGTCAGACTTCCACGATTATGAACCAAATCTGGAGTTTGATGACTCGGAACTTCATCAAACTCCTGATGTTATCGCTCAAACAGGTGAGAAACTGCTCTTGCTTTAGTGATATTGTTTGTCTGATGATTCAGCCCCAAGCATTGTTTTTTATCATAATATCAATCCTAAAAAAAAAGAGTTTGATGCAGTAATGAATGATATTATTGATATTGAAAAGATTGAATCCCAAATGAAAGAACCCAATGAAATGGTCACGAAATAGCTATTGTGCTACTTTTTGAACTAGATGCAGAGTGCTTGCTTTCATAAGCTTTGAATGGAACTAAAAAATGTTAGCCTTTGTCTCCCTATGCTATTGAAATTTTTTTTATTGTGATATAAATGTATACTTACCTAGCATTTTGCAGTTGCATGTGTTGGTTCACTAACAAGGGTAAGGAGTGAATAAATTAAATAAAATATATCCATATAGTTCTATATGCTGAGGTCAAAGATTCATCTTACCATGACTTGTCCCTTTTCTTTGAAATCTCCAATGAAGGTGTAGGAAGTATAGTGTCAATCTACTTGACAGCATTTTTTAACAGCTAAATAAAAGGTGGTTTCTAAATTTCTAAATTATTTAATTTATTTATAATTCCAATTTCTTATATAACCCGTGAAAAGCAGTATAGTAGCCTTTGTGATTTTAAAGCTGACCTGATAACAATGGAATCAAATGGGGGTGTAAGCTCACCAATATGTGAGTTTACAGAAGACAATTTTGAAGAAGAGCTGGCAGAGGCATGTGAAGAGAGCTTTGATAGTCTTATGTTCTGCTCCACATCATATCCAGAAGTTGGTGACACACCACCTGAAAAATTCCATGAAATATCAAGGTACCAACAAATTGGACAAAATCTTACAACTTACACAATCTCAGTATAAAGTTTAACTAATGCAAAAGTCAAGTAGTCTGTTTGATAATTCTTTCAAAATATTTATTAACTTCAATCAACTGTATCATGCTTGAAATGTGTAGGAAACAAATAGCAGTGCTTCCAACTTGTTGGAAATTTTGCATATAAGTGAGGTGTTTTTAAAAAAGTGCATGTCTACTTCAGTACCAAAGATCAATGATTTTTAACAAATATAGACTGGAGTGATAATGTAGTCTTTTTATCTTGAATGAGTTTTTGATGCTTTAATCTTGATAAATGTTACAATTGGTAAAATAATATCAGTAGATTACTTATATCAGTTTGGATGTGTTTCTAGAAAAACAACTTAAAAGATACAATTATTATAGGTATGGGATAGTAGATGTTAAAGGAGATGATGCAGTTGGAAGGAAAATAATTGTTGTTTATGCCTGTAAGTTACCACCCATCAAAGAAATAGACCATGGGCTATTGCTTAGGTATGTATGCACATGCTTTGGATCCATATTAGACATAATAAAACCAAGATCTTTTTGGTAAATCACATTTCTGTATATCTGAAAAATAATTTATGGAATAAAATGATACATTTTTCAATATTAGTCTAGGATTGTGAATCATGAAAAGTCTATCTATCAGTGGATGTAAAACTTTGGCCATTCAACCTGTCGTGTATCTTCAACCATCAAAGTTCAAAGACTTAAATAAAAATGGTCCATTTGCATTGGATGTAAGTTCCATAGGGCGATGAATGAGTACAGAAGGATAAAATGTATGAAATCGCTACCAGAAGTTACTATTTTCCGACGTTGATATCGCAGGTTACGTCTACCTTGTAGGGTTGCAAATTGGCAACTGCCGAATTTTAGATAAATCGTGGTTTTCCATCTGTCTTTCAACTGTTAGGTTGTCCACAAACGGCAGGATTTCCCGATTCGATTTCCAAATTCGAAATCCGCATGCGAAATTTTGTGGATGCATGGTACAGTTTAATGCGTCCAAATCAGTTCTGTACCTTGACTGACAAGAAGCGCCCTAGCGCTCATCGGGTTTCGATGGAAGACAGATTTCTACCAATGAGCCGTTAATTTTGGCTGGTTGGAGTTGTTTACTAAACATACTCGATGTTGCGGATGCGGTGGTACCATGCTACCATGGTATGTGCCCACTGTGTGGTGCAACATGAGATGGAGATGCCTTATAAATTTGGTTTAATTCACTTGAACGCCGCCAGATGGGGCATCAAGCAGCTTGCAAGAACAAAGGAACAGTGGCATGGGTAAGATTGAATTTGCCTCTAACAGCCGATCCTGAAAGTTGATTGGCAGCTGGTGCTGTAGACTAATTGGTCAGGTCGGCTTCACATACTGGGTTCATATGCGCACGAATCTCGCGAATGCGGGAAGGGAATATTTATTACATCACTAGTACATACATATCTGATTATAGTTACTACATATAGTAAATGTACTGTAATTTGTCCCCAGCTATCTGAAGTATACCCTAGAGAGTTATGTGAAACAAGATTACAGTCTCGTTTACTTCCACTATGGCTTGACCAGCAAAAATAAGCCTTCACTTGGGTGGTTAGTTCAGGCATACAAAGCTTTCGACAGAAACTACAAGAAAAACCTGAAAGCTTTGTATTTGGTTCACCCAACATCCTTCCTAAAGATTGTCTCACAGATCTTCAGGCCTCTAATCAGTGCCAAGTTCGGTAAGAAGTTGAATTATATTAATAGACTGAAGGAGTTGAATGAACTTATGCCTATTGAGAAGCTGGATATTCCTGAAGACGTCATTGAGTAAGTATTTCAACTGCATAATTAGTTCATGTGATATGGAGAGTTTATTTTTGTGAGTTAGAAAGAGGATCTTTAAGGAAGCAATCTTAATTGACACTTGAGAACAAATTCATAAAATTTTCGTTAAAATAATAGGCAAATTTGTTTAATGTATGCTGAAGCGGTAACACCTCACACCGCACATAGAGGTAAATACAACTATAGTTTATAACTGCAGGAATTGCTTTCTTACATCCATCTTTCGCACTCGTGCGTACGCAATCTATCTCTATGCACGGAAGTTTATATTTCTAAGCTTTTTAGTTTTGTCTCACCGCATTGAAAATCCTCTGCTCAACATATGAGTCTTTCACATTCATGCTTGTCACTGTCAGTACGTCAACTTACTTGACATGGGCGTGCTATTTATGTTTACCTTTTCTTAATCTTCCATATCAAACTTAGCAATGCCTGAAGATACTGTTACACTGTCGGTGGTCTGTGATTTATTGGAGCATTTTCAGAACGTGAATTAAAACAATGATCCTCTACATCCAATTCATGTCGATAATCCATTACCGTAGAATGACCATTGGTTATTTAGTAATATTTCAAAATTCCCCATATCAACAAACGACATAATTCTGACGGATGCGGCAAGGCCAGGTGGACAGAGCAGAATATTGTTTTGGTTTTTGGTACGCTAAATATTCATTTTGTACTCACTAACAACTCTTTTATTTAGAAAAGCTCATTTGCATACAAAAAAGACGCTGCAAGATAGTTTTACTAGTTTTGTACCCGATTCATTATTGCCCACAATTACAGACGAATCCAAAATGTCACTTGTTGATCAGCTTTTCACCTCCGTAGACGTCAAAACGTGATGGATACGTGTGATATAGGGTTTAGCCGTTCCGTCAAGGATTGACTTGTGCCGCAATTTCTGGAAGTTAATATCTGTACATGGTATAGTTAGCCAATCTGTTCACTTATTTCGTATTACATTGTGATGTAACAACAAAAAACTGACATATAGCAACCTGTCAAAGACCAGTGAAGTTATGTAAATTGACAAAATTCCTTACCGTGACACCTATACAGGGTGTTTCAAATTCGACGTTCACCATTGAGATCTCGGTAAATAGGGGCAACATTGCATATTGAAGTAATCATCAAAATGCCGCTTATAGAGTTTTGAAAGTACTTCCTGAGAAAGACGGAAAAAACAAATTTTCCAAAATCGTTTTATTTTTTCCCGACTTTCTTTGGAATTCAAAATAAATATTTTTTCAAGGACGCCATATTGGATTTTTGAGCAGATGAATAGAGTTTTTACTTCTGATTTCAAAAATCTATACTATATCATACATTTTCATTGCCAAACCTTAATTATTCCAGAAAAACAGAAGGTCCAAGGTAGGCCTTGAAATTATCAGATTTCATGTGTTGCATATACTAAACCAGGCCACAAATTGAACATAGCAACAGAGTTTCGAAGACTGAGAAGAGAAATAAATCGAGCAGTGAAAAATTTACAGAGAAGATTTAGGCTTCGCATACAAAATAAGGGACATTTCGAACATCTGTTTATTTATGATTTTTATTTGTATTACCATCAATGACATTTTCATTTTTGTGCTTAGGTTTCACCATATATTTTTATTTCCTTATAATTTCCATCAAACAACAAACTCAAGGCCAACTAAGGAAGTGCATCACTGAAAAGACCAATTATAAATATATATACTTGTATGTATATATATATATATATATAAATTTTCAAAATTCCAATATAGCGTCCATATGAGAAAACAAAGTAGGTGGTGGAAATCGATGAAGAAATGTTGAATTGAAAACTTGAGTATGTCATTTTGTAGAGGAGAATAAGTAACATTGACAACATGGAATTTATTTGGAAATTCCATCTGAAATAAAGTCAGGAAAACATAAAAGTGATTTTAGGATAAATCTGATATACAAAACAAATGACTATCTGATAATTTGAAGGCCTAACGAGGAAATTCTGTTTTTTTGAGATAACTAAGCTTTGACAATGTCAATGTATAACATATTATACATTTTTGGAATCAGAATTAAAAACACTATGGCGTTAAGAGAAAAAATAAAGTTGATGCTGGAGGACAAGAGACGAAACGTTATATTGAAATTCTAGTTATGGCTTCTTGTAGAGGAGAAAAAGTTAATTAGCAATTTATTTTGAAATCCGGCTACAAATAAAGTCAGGAACAAATTAAACCGGTTTTGGGAAAATTCGGGTTTTTCCGCCTTTCTCCGGAAGTACTTTGAATTTCGAAACTTGCTAGCGGCATTTTGTTGATTATCAAAATACGCAACTTTGCCCCCATTTAAGCGACTTCGTATATCTTACAGTTTCCTAGATCCCGATGGTGGTCAAATTTGAAACACCATGTATATCAGAACTGATGAAATGAGAAAAAAACTACCCCAAAACTTGATGCTTGACTGGTGGTGCAGTGATCAGAGTGTTCTAGCTACTGCGCATGCACAGGGTATCTGATGTTAGGAAAAAATTTACAGACAACATGAGCAGATACAATTCAATACTAAACTAAATCGAGAAATCTCCCGCGTAGGGCCCTAAAAGCTAATAAACTAGGTACAAGCTTACAGGTTATAAAATACACTTTTCGCCGGTGATTTTTATCTTTATGAAAACAAAAGTTATCCGTAAAATCTGTAAGTTGCCCTCCCGCTGTTATAATTAGCTTTCAAGATCCTACTCGTGAGATTGCACGATTTTTGTCTAGTGTCAAACGAATATGATTGTAGTATTCCATGTTTTGACTAGGAAGCCAATGGGATCATCCTCATATGTTAAATCTGCTAGAGCTCCTATAAAATACACGTTTCTACCAATTTTGTTTCTCAAGACGTTACCTTTTCTAACACATACAAAAAATCTGTGCATATTTTGATTATTCTTCTATCTTAATCTTCAATGACTCAATCCATAGATCTGGCCAGTCTTTGGACAAAAGATTGAGTTTTTTTACCAGCATATCGGAGAATAGCGGGAATTCCAAACAATGAACATGTTACTCTTCCCCTTGTTAAACAATTCATCACCGCACAAAGGAAGCCTTTGAATAGTTCTTCACAAATAGCTAAATAACAGTAACCATTTCCAAAAGATTTCCGACTCTCTACACCAAGGATTTACAAAAAATAAGCAAAGATAATCGAATTAATTTATTATATATGTATATTATTATTAAATGAGTTAAATGGCAATCGTTTGTTGGTGTTCATATGGCGGATCTGTAAAGCCCGGCGATGCCAGTTGGGTCGTGCAGAATTTCCCCAGATCAGGCACAAAAATCCCTCAGAATTGCTAGTTTAAAAAAAAACAAATAACTGTTAATTAATGGAAAGGGCAAGGTTTGGTTCAGAGCGGATGCTTTCTATCCATGAAACGTGTGATATCACCAAAAACTTCCTCAAATTTTAAGGAATACCCCCCAACATGGCAACCCTGTCAAAGCTCCACTGTTACTACAGGCGTCGTTTCGGTTCGTTGCTACAGCACGAACCGCATTGCTGTCGCTTCTCCTGGTATATAGGCTCCATGAGCTAAGCATTCAGCCACCACTGTATACTAACACTTATTAGATGACATTTGCAGGTTATGACTGTTAACATGTTGTCACTTGCATTTTCCCCCTTTGAAAGGTTGCCAGTTGAATTTTTTTTCTGTATAGAACTGCTAGACTAGCACTCTAGTAATCATTGATAGGCACAATTACTCATTCCAGACACGATAAGAAGTTGGGCGGAGAAGTACCACTATCAACTGCTGTGGACCATGTAGACGAGCCAAGTCTACCAACACAACAATTTGGCGTGACATTGCCATTCATCAGGGATTACTACAAGTCTGTTTTACCTCCTGTCGTAAAGCAGTGTGTCGAATATCTGGACCAACCTGACGGTAAAATAATAAATTTTCTGAAAAATATAAAAGGGCAATTTATTTTTAATGGATTTCGGAGTCTTGTTTTTTCCTGCGAGGGTCATCAAAACAAACATTGTGCATAAAATAGTAGTAGTAGTATTTAATTTTTGTGTTATACATATAGATGTTTACACACGTCAAATAATAAATGAAATGCAATATAAACGCCTGGACAATTTACAAATATTCACACAACAACAGTAAAATACAGTATATTTTGGATGGAGCTTATGCTAGAGAAGTCAAAGTACGGAGTTATAAATCTTTAAAGTTGGACAGAAATTCGTCTAAGGAGTAGAAGGCTTTACATAAGAGATACTTTTTAATATCACTCTTGAACTGACCGTCATTTAATACCTTGAGCTTTTTGGGTAATATATTGTAAAGCTCTAGACAATGATAGTGTAATCCATCTTTTATTTTGATCCTCAAAAGATTAGGATGAAAATCTTAAATCTTGTATTGTATGTTCATCTGATTGCTAAATATGCGTATGCTACTTTTCATGTAGCAGAGACACAAGGAAGTGTAAGGATATTGAAGTTTAAATTCATTTCTACTACAAGTGTCATACGAGATAGAAGCTAATGTTCTAATAAAGCGCCTCTGTAGTGCAAAAATTGTCTTGGCATGGCATAAACCACAGTTAATAATGAAGTAGCTAACATGAGAGTGGAGATGCCCAAGATATGCGGCTATCAAAGTTGATTGGCTGCTAATGAAGACATATCTAAATTTAGCAGATTCAGTGTTTTATTTTAAATGTTTAAGATAAAAATTTAGTTGCTGAGTTTTCAACTGATTTGGCTTGACATCAGGTTTTCACTCTGGACCTTTGTTCGTTCACATGATGAGTTGGTTCAGAAGCTGTGGCAAATTGATTCAGTTCTGTAATATCATCTGCAAATGATAATAATGATAAGTTAGAATCACAATTCTGTAAATCATTGAAGTTCAGCAAAAATGAGAGTTGGCCCAAATACGAAGTCCTGAGGCACTCCATACCTTATCAACTGTTTATAGCTCTCCGAGATTTTGACTACATCTAAAAGAGACAGCAACAAAAAATAACTTCGTCGACTAGAATGCGAAAATGACCCTGTTCAGGAGACGGTCGGTCGTAAAAAAAATATAAGCGTATACTGACAAACATAAATTCGATGAGGTTATAAAAAATCAATAGGACTATTTATTGCTCAGGAAATCGCTTATATTTAGTAAAATTTGCAACTTTTGTTAAGTAAACTTTTACTACCTGATATATTATTTTCGAACTTCAGCACTGGAAACAGAAGGGCTATTCAGGCGATCCGCAAATGCGGTGAAGGTTAGAGCTCTGAAAGAAGCCGCTAATAGAGGCGAGAAACTAGTTTTTGAGGATCCCCACGAAGCTGCAGTGTTACTCAAGAAATTTTTGAGGGAACTGAAGGAACCATTGCTGACGTACGAGCTCTACGACGAAATTGTGCAGTTCCAAAGTACGTGTTTGGATTACTCTTAAGCAAACTTACGCTCCTGCACACGCACTCACCTACCCGTTCTCTCAAACCTAACCCCCCACACACATGTAGTTTGCGTAAACAACTTTTTAAGATCGAGGCTGTTTTTTTGTTACTTTCTGTGCACAGTACGACTCATTTAATTGAATGCAGATTTTTTTATATCATTTATAGTACATCTCTTTTGCCGAGCTAGTACTTGGGTGATCCTAGATATTGTACTCCTCGTTATTACAGCTGCACGGTTTTATTTTATGCGAATTATCCTGAACAAGCTTGAAGCCATTCCCTTTTTGCAAAAGTAACTATGCTACAGTAGTTAGATAAATATATGCATTTGTTTTAGGTTGGAATAAAGATGAACAACTTAGACTAGTTTCAATATTAGTAATGGAAAAGCTGCCCGAGGATAATTACAAAGTACTCAAATATATCATCAATTTTTTGTCTAGGGTAAGTAGAAATCAGAAACTGAGTACAGTCTATCAGATTAATTGAAAGCTGCTTTAGTTTGAAATACTTTTTATCTCAATACTATTTTTTAAAAACCTCATTCAGGATTATCTTATAACAGTGTAACAAAATCGGCAATAGACAATTAAACATTATAGTTTTATTAGGCTATCTGGTCATCTGTCAGCACAGATTCATTGATCAATCAATATTTTTAGGTTTCAAAAAATATGCAACATTTTTTAACGCATTTCTCGTATTTTGTCAAATAAACTTGATTGGATATCTAAAAACAACTATCGTCATACTGAAAATTTGGTACTGTCTAAGAGGTTTAGATGTACTTATTGCCAAATTTTATTTTTTAGACAATACATAATTATTATCATAACCACTACTCGACGAAATTCAAAAATGTGTAGTTCTCTCCAAGTATAGGTGTCTATCAAAAAAGCAACTAGGATTTTTTACGTCATTACTCAAATCATGAATATTTTTTAAATGTATTTTCACAGGGATGTTGCAGGTTAACCCTGAATGGTTTTTGAAAAACGTGTCTCGTAGCAATACTCCAGGCTATAAAGTGTATGGCATGCTGTACGAGAATTGACGGAAGATAAAGGTTCCCAATGCCTGTCCACATAGTAAACACTATTTTATTGCAAAACCAATTACCTAAGAAATACTCATTTATTCTATGAAATTAGATGCGAGTCGAGTAGCCTATTGCAATGTTGCGGGTGTCAGTAGAATGAGAATAGAGATAGAATAAGAACGTAAAAAAAAATTAAATAACTATCACATATTGTGCAGGGAATCCACAATGTTACAGGAGATATGTACTGACTAACTTGCAGGCACTCTAACTCGGAAACTACTAGTGGAGAGACTTTGGGCCAAAATATAAGTTTGATCTACGTGTTGAAATGTACAACTTACTAAATTCTTAAAAAAATAGTCTAAAGCCAATACCGGCAAAGTTTGTGCGGAGTCTTTTCTACGTTATTTCTTGATAGGTTATGGAGCGTTCAGACTTGAACAAAATGAATGCCCAAAACTTGGCGATTGTATTCGGTCCGAACTTGGTGTGGTCCGAACTGGTCTCCATGTCTCTGGCTGCAATTGGCCCCATCAACATGTTCACCCAGTTCCTGCTGGTACATCAAAATGACATTTTTATGATATAGATACATATGCTGTGATCAGATTAATCTGTTAGATTCCATGTAATGAACTGTGTAGGGATTAACGATGTACGAAATTGTGAGAATTGCTTGTCGGCAAATTGCTTTAGTCAGTGATTAACTATTACTTATTGTATTCAAAACACTATTGTTACATAAAGATTGAGATGTGACAAGATTGCCTAATGGACGTTCTTCGCATTAATTGTTGGGGGAACTAAAAATGTGAAATATTCTCGAAATTTTCCCATTTTGCGTTTATGTAAAACGTTTTTGAATCCTTCAAAAGGATCATTTCGTGAACAAACAGCTTGTTTTGCAGCCTAAAATTACTGTTTTATCATGGGGCCGCAATGAATGAAAAGTCCTATAAAAAATCATTAGTATTCAATTTTCTGATCTTGTGGGTTCATATGTTTTAACAGTTCGTATATTCATGAACCATACAGACACAAGGTGCACCCTGTTAGCAGCATTGATAGCCAAAACTCTTCTAGCTCTATCCAATCTAACCAAATCGGTGACACCACCGATTAACCTCACCTATTGACACCTGCATGGAGTCAATATACCTTTAGAAACTACGGCAATGCTGTTTGTGCTGTAAAAACCACCCCGAAACTTGACGCCTCGAGTACCAGTGGAGCTCTGACAGGGTTGTCAACACGTTCAGCTACAAAACGAGTTCACAACAAGTGTACAACAACTTCTGCTGAGTTAACATCTTGTAGAAAAACCTACGTTATGTCACAAAAAATCTACGAAATGTCGAAAAAAACAAAGATACGTAATAACCGTGCCGGTTGCCATGTTAAGTGATTTTCCCCCAAATTTGGGGGATTTATACTTGGGGAATTTTTTGGGGATATAATGTTCTGGGGGAAGTTGCTCTTTGAACCAAACCTACTCATTTGCGTTAATTGACTGTGATTTGGGGGATTTTTTTTTGAAAAAGTATCAATACTGAGGGATTTTCGTGCTTGTTCTGGGTAAATTCTGCCCGACCCATCTGGCAACGCTGTACTTGGGAGATTGGCCATATGAACACTTCCCTTAGTCTAAGAGTCCTCCCACTTGAATCTGTCGGTTTGTTTTTTTTTATAAAACTTGATTTTCATGAATGATAAAATAGATCTGTTCTACTAATACCATCCATCAACGCCACCTGGACGTGATGGGGGTGGCTGAAGATCCCTTATGTGAGGGCTGCGCGGTAGATGAAGAGACATCGGCGCACGTTCTGTGTCAGTGCAAATAATTATATTTTTTATATGTAATTGAGAAAATGAGTTTTTAGAGTATTTTTCCGGTGAAAGCCATTCTGCAAATTTAGTGTTATACACTCTGGACAATCCCCAAACGATTTATAAAGAAGTCCATTAGACGATTAACAATGTACCACTAATATAGAACTGAAATACAAGCTTGAGAATAATAGTTTTAAGCAGTATAAAAGTAAATTACTAATCAACAATTTGACATGTTAACAAGTGATAACGAATAAAATGAAATTTAACATTGATATAATGAACCATGCACCTATTACAGTTTGTTTCATACATTGTTAGTTCCTTGTGTATATTCCTGTTGTACAAAGATGCAATGCAAATAGTGGTCATAGTAGCGCATAGCGCCATTGTAAAATATATGTTGCCTGTGTATGGCGGTAAAATTCATTTTCATTTGATATTGTAGCCCGACGTATTCATTTGTTTTCTGTACTTTATATTCATCATTTCAATTCAATGGAGAGTCAACCTCAAGATGTGACAACAAGTTACAACGATTTTAAATCATGTTTTAATTTGTAGTGTGCAATGCTTCACATTCAGGCCTTGTACATGTGTTGATTTTGTTTCATGTCTATTTTCTTTTGAGCTTTACTAAAATATTTCACTTATTCTTGTCAATATCTAAACCTAAGCTGCATCAACAATACAAACAACATACTTTTAGATTACAGGCAGCTTCAGCTATACTAAATATTTTTGACAGCATCATTTAGTTGGCGGCACGTGTTTAAATGTATTAACAATTCGTTTTTTTTTTATTTATCTTTTATTTTCAACATGATAGAAAAACTCTGATAGTTGGATTGCTACTTAAATTAATTTATATCTGCTCAAAATACGTAACAAGGAGTCGTTGACATTTCGTTTTTTCTTGTTTTATGACCTCCTGAGGTCACACTTCAGGACGCACAATTTTTGTGTCACCATAGAGTGTGTGTGGTTCCTATTGCAAGTGCAGCTTTGGGTTTTGTATCTTATGTTACTAAATTTATTAGTCATTGTTAAATATATCGAACTGATGTCCTGCTAATTTCCAGATACAGGAGATTTGTAAGATATTTAGCTTAGCCCTCAAATAGTTACGTAAAATATAGATTACGTTGTCACTAGCTTAAATTATGCGCACTAACTTCTGGAGTATAGCTTTGACAACAACATTGATGAGGGTAGGGCATGCCCAACAATCATTAATACGTAACTGCCTTGAGGAAGATCATTTTTCATCTATATTTATGTCAGGTATTTTGATGATGATCTCTGCAAAATTGAAAACGTGTGTGTTCCAGTTTGTGTTTGTGGATCAAAATACTGGCCTTCTAGCTATAAGCACCTCTGAAGAGCTATTCAGAGAAATCCAAATATCACTGACGAGGTAATGTACACCAGAGAAAAGCGTGCACTAAGTATGTTGAAAAGAGTGCCCCCATTGCAACGTGGCAATCCGCAGGCCCCGTGGCCCCGTCACTCGAGTTGCTATCTTTAACATACATATTCCACTCTTATCGTGCTTCTCTCTCGTACACATTACGACGTCAGTGGTATATGGATTTATCTGTAGGAGATCTATGTATATTTTAACAGCTAGTCTCAGTGAACATATGTAAATGGGCTCTGAAGCTGTGTGATCAAGTGGTTTATGCAAGGTAAACATAACATTATTACCTATAGCATATACACACTCATACCTATTATAAATGAAGTTTTAGAGGAGAAAAATATTTATACCGCAATTTTTATCAGTCCATACCGCATCATTGTATATAGAGTAAGATTGTATAGAAATGCAATTTATATTTACATGTATTTACACAAATGTAGTTTAACTACTATATACAACCATGACTAAGGCTTATATTTTTCTTGGAAAGTCATTGAAGCTAAAAAAAGCTGTTTGCATGCAAAACCGATAGTACTATGGTGCAAAAGATCCCATTTTTGATGACCCATTGCTACTTCGTAGATTTGCAATCTTACCCTTTGTTGTACGACTAACATATTATGCTAAATTCTAAATCAAATATTATTGTAAACAAAATCCTTTCATACTATAAGTCAGAAGGAAATTATTCATAATACATGCTCAGTTGATCTCTGAATCAGACCAGGTAATACTGTTTTAACACCACCCCACGCCAGAGAGATCCCCAGTCTTCAGTTGCAGTGATACTGATTCACCATGCACATCAGAAAGTCCAAAATATCCTATTATACAAAATGTTTTTATCTATATTTGTTCGTCTTATACTCGATAAATATGAGCCTTGTACAAAACTTGTTAGTAGATGGAAATAGACTGAAATTTTTTATTTTTGCATCTACTTATGTGGTGGATAAATTAGTCAAAATACCAAAGAACTATGTTTTTTTAGCTGCATTTGATACTACGTCAACCCAAAATTACTCCACATCGTTTTTCATTTCCTTAGGAAAGTTAGAGATTTATCAATGTTAGGTACCTTTTATACTTCTGTAATTTATGTTGATAGTATTTTGAGGGAAATATTCTTTTGATTTTCTACCTCCTTCAAAGATTCCATAAAAAATATTTTTGTATCTTTATTTTTCAGCTAACTCTTATTTCACTTGTATAATTAAATACAAATAAATACAATATTTATACTCATACCACCCCTTTTTATTTAGTTGAAACACCACCTATGCACCACTAGATTTTGCTTTTTTCTAATTTTTCTAATACACCATCAACCTGCAAAAAAATATTATTTGCAAAAAATAATTATATAGGATTTGTATCTCGAGATAAAACATTGTCATTTGAAAATAAAAAATGAAGGCATAAAGTTCCTGTTCCAGATAGGATATATATAAAATCAGTTGAAACAGACTAAAATTGCTACTTCATCTGTACAAGATGAGAGATGGCATATGGTTAGCTATTCAGTCAATATTTGCCTCTCTACTTATACCAGGAGATTCAAATTTGACCCTCATCATTGAGATATTTGAAACGAAAAAGGTCCGTTAAAAATGGGCAAAGTCACACAATTAGGTAACTAAGAAAATGGCACTTAGAAAGTTTCCCAATACAAAGTATTTCTGAAAACTAACAAAACAAAGTTGGAATTTATAATATAATAATAAATTGCACATTAGTGTGGCTCGATTAGAATTCCAATCTGATGTTTAATTTTTTGTTCTCCATGATCAACTTCATTTTTTATTATGGACACCAAATTAGATAATATGCAAAAATAGCATATAGCTTTATTCTGATTACAAAAAAGGCAAATGTGTCATACGTTGACAGAACAAAGTTTCAGTTATTTGGAAAAACATATTTTCACATTTGGTCTTGATAATGACAGCTATCACTTGTTTAATCATATATATCACCAACTAACGATTGATGTTTTACCCCTCCATTAACTATGACAAGGAATTTTTTTTTCAATAATTATGGTTTTGCATTGTTAACGGATGATATTACATTTTTAAAACCAAAATTAAAAGCTTTATTCACCAGAAATGCAATTTTGAATTCACATCCATCTTTCAATGGTTCTGATGGAATGTTCTATTTCATTACATAACATGGATTTGATGATTCCATAAACACGGTTGAGTTTAATATGGATTAAGGAGTATTGATTATTTTTTTATTTTTTATGAATGTACAGTAGAACCCCGATTATCCGAAATCCGCTTTATCCGAAACAGATCGCATACAATAATTTCTCCGTTTTAACCGAAGTTGTTCGGAAAATCGGCGCATGATCCAAAATAGCCGCCGGTAGTTCCCCTTTCGGCGTTTTCGTCATTAGATTCGCTGCCGGTAATTCCCCAAGCGCGTTTGCGGAATTCACTGGAATGTGTGCGTGTATGTTTGTTTCAGTCAGGTTCATAATCGCTAAGATGGAGCAGCATAGAAGTAAACGTAAACGCCTTGTTATTAAAATAGAACAGAAACTTGATGCAATCAGACGTTTAGATAGAGGTGATTTGCTTAAAAACGTGGCAAATGATTTGGGTGTGGGCGTGAGTACCATTTCAGAATGGAAAGAACAACGCGAGAAAATTGCAAAGTGTTCTGACATCATCGCAGCCGTCACGGAAAACTATGAAAAAGGGGGAGTATCAATAAGTGGATGATGCTTTATATCTGTGGTTTACACAGAATCGAGAACGTGGAATACCAATTTTCGGACCAATTCTAAAGCAAAAGGCAGTCAACTTAAGTGAAGAATTGCCAGTTGCCAATTGCCAAAACGACACGGTATAGGAGAATTAAAAGTTTACCGAGAAAATTTATCTGCCGATCAGCCGCATTAAAATTTGGAAAACAGTTAATGAAGCAGTATGGTTTACATCCAGAACAAATTTACAACTGCGACGAAACAGGCCTAAATTATAAAATGTTACCGGCGAAAAGTTTAGCTTCAAAACAAGAATCTGGAGCTCCTGGTTACAAACGCAGTAAAGAACGTGTGACTATCATTGCTTGTAGCAATGCTTCCGTACACAAAAAACTTCCTTTGTTGTTAATTGGAAAATCAGTTAAAGCAAGAGCATTTAGACACGTCCGTCCCAATACTCTTCCAGTGTGGTATAAAAATCAAAAAAATGCCTGGATGGATGCCGCTCTATTTAAGAACTGGTTGTACAATCAATTTGTTCCCAAGTCAGAACGATATTTGAATGAAGGCGGATATCCGAGAAAATGTATTTTGCCATTAGACAATGCTCCGAGCCAAGTGAGCAGCAACTTAATGAGAATAACAACAAAAATTTACATGGTGTGAAAATCTTACCCAAGCAGATGGTGAGTTGATTAATGGTGATGAACTGGTGGAAGAATTAACTGATACAGAATTAATAAAAACTGTTTGTAATAATGGCAATAAGACAGTTTTAAGTGATGCTAATGACAATGAGACAGAAATCTCTGCCAAAATATCACATTTTGAGGGATTAGAAGCTCTACAAAAGGCAATGACTTATGTTGAACAACAAGAAAATGCAACAGCAGCTGATGTGCTACTTATCAAACATTAGAGTAATATTGCTGCCAAAAATGGAACAATGTAAAACATGTACAGATAAAAATTACTTCCTTTATTACTAAATATGTACTCGTAAAAATCTATGTTTGTATCCACATGTTTAAATTTTATGTAACTTTATATAGCTATATACTCACTTTTCACACGCATTTACTTTTTTCAATAAAAGCATTATTAGTTATATATAGTTTTTCCCTGTCCTTATTTTTTAGTTATAAGTTTTTGTGTATTCTCTGTTTCTCTACTAGCCAGTAAGCACTCCTACATGTAACTACATTCAAATGTGTTTGTAAGAGTTTAAATACATAAATAAATTAGTCTAAATATTTATTACCCTTTTATCTGAAATTTCGATTATACAAAAGCACTTGGGTCCACATTATTTTGGATAATCAGGGTTCTACTGTATAACATTCCATTCCATTTAAAGGGAATTAAGTTGGATGTGTAGGTTACAATTGGGACCCTATAGAATAGTAAATATTTTAGACATGTGCCGCATATACCAGAGACTTCTATTGAACAATTTGGGTGACCTCAATCATAAATGATATAATAATCTAGTTTTGAGATGTTTTAGTTAAGGGGCAATACTCGATACTCACAGTCCCTGATACTCAGAAACACCTTACATAAAGCAAATGATAATCAATAACTAAATGAATTGCACATACCGTTTGGAACCACCATGTATTTGGTTTAAAAACTAATTTGCTAAAGAAACCCATGTCAGATTTTGGTGATATCACGTGCAAGTGTAAATGGGATATGCTATTAAATGGAGGACAGTGGAAGCCTAGTATTATATCATTAATATCCCCTCCTCGTTCTTCAACCACTCTTTTACCATTTGTTATTAGTTTTTCCACTAAAATATACAATGCATTAGGCAAAAATTAAGGTAACTGATTATAATACTCTTACATAAATCTTTATGCTCAGGAGATGTTAAATAGTTAACATTAATAATGTGTTCCTTGGGTACAGCCAAATAGTGATGCTTTGCAGCCGGTTTAATGTCTTTAAAGACCACAGTTTCATTATCATTCAGTAAGATCTCTCCAGGAGATTCCCCAGATATTATTTTACAGAAAATGCAGTTACTTCCAGCAGACATCTGTAAAATATGCATAAAAACTTGTAATGATGAGTCATGTTGTCATGTTATTTTCATTATATATATATATATATATATATAAATATATAATTTACCAAGCTGATATATCTTGTTGAATATGCCTGAAGTGGTTCAACAGTGTTTTCTTGCTAAAGTTATGTTCACTGGTCGAGTGATAATATTGTTGTTTTATCATAATTTTTCCCACGTCTTGTTGACCCCTCCGGTTGGCCGTTTGACTTTTATTTTATTTCTTGGGTGCGCTTGCGCTGTGTCTGTGACATGCTGTGCTGCGTTCCTAAATTGTTAAGTCGGTGATAGACGTACAAACTTTAAGTACACAGTTTTAAAGATCGTGAACTTACTTGGCTCGACGTCGGTGACACACGAGAAGCTGGTTCACACTGTGTTGCGATGTCGTCAACGGAAGAAGCTTTGTATTATTTAGGAATTATATCCTATTATATTTTACAAACTAATAAGAAAAAACGAAATCGAAAAGTGTGGGTAAAGAAGTGGCTTACGAAGAGATAATTTAGTGAGAAAGTTACGGTTTGAGTAGTAGTAGTAGAAAGATTTATTTAGCACATTTGGCTACAGAACAATTGTAAACAACTTAGAACTAGTAAATTCAAGCCATATGGTGTATCATGTAAATGCTGGGCAACCTATAATTGTAGATTTAACAAGTGATTTCTCAATTTTACTTTAAATTTTGTCAAAGTTTTCTGGTCTTTTATCTCCGAGTATAATTTATTATATTCAATCAACCCTTGATGGAATACAGATTTGTAGCATATGTTATACTTTTTGGTCATTAAATGGAAGTCATCTTTATTTCTGGTATTATGTAAATGATGGTCGACATTTGATGATGTTAAATTAGTTAGACTTGATGGAAATATATTATTTTTTACTTTATAAATGAATATCATTACAAGATATTTGATAAAATTTTTTACATTGAGCCATTTTAATTTGCTAAGCGTTTGCCTGATTGGAGTATATTTATCTTTATTTAGTATTATTCTCATGCACTTATTTTGTAAAGATTTCCATAATTATTTCAGAATGCCTGAGCTGGTGTACGAAGAACTTTTGCGCTTAGTTAGACCAATTATAGCTAAACAGGATACTTGCATGAGAGAAGCTATTTGACCGCATGAACGTTTAAGTGCAACATTACGATTTTTGATAACTGGTGGTACATATACAGATTTAATGTATTCATCAGCAATATCAAGACAGTCATTGGGAAACATAATTCCTGAGACATGCGATGCAATTTACTCTGCACTGAAGACATATTTGAAGGTATGTAGTATACATTTTTACCTATTTTATGGAAAAATAATACTAATAGTCTACTAATCAGTCTTTATTAAAGTTCAAATATTCAATCAGGGTGTCCGGTACACTAATAATTTGCGAGTCTTGCGACAAGTGAAATGCTTCTGTTTCTTGCATCTGTACTGGAACAGCTGGGG